CATGCTTGTATAGATGATCAGGTGTACGCAAATGTTCATTTCACGCGTATGGACTCAAACACATACAATAGATATTCTTGTAAAACTACAGAAATCTAGATAGCCTAGTTCCCGAGTTGGCGCCTAGCCAGTTGTTACGAAATCGCAACTTTGACGTGTTCGTCCCATGACGTAGGCTGCTTCAAGCTGAATATAAAATCTTTAGCTCATATAAAGACATAGAATATTCCTGTGAAGTTTTAGCTTTCTGACTTGTCTGGTCCTCGAAATAACTTTTTCTCAAAAAATTTATTCAGATCTAGATGCTCTAGAAATTCTAGCTCCCTAGCTTCACTGGTTGTCGGTTGAAAGTGGGCCACATACGAATGTACACACACATACAAATGTATACACGCACATAGACAACCCTCTTGTCAATATGCGTTTTTGCATTTGTATAAATATGCAAAAATGCATAAAAAGTGAAGAAATCAACTCGAAAACCGACCGTCACTAGAGCAAGTTTTCGCGAGGAATGTCGCTGTAAAAAATCATCAAGCGAAAACGACACAGAATCATCCATCGTTCAATGACTCCGTCAATAAAGGACCCGTAAAAGTGCTGAAATCAGTTGTAAAATGCACTTACACGCAGAAATTTTAACAACATCAACATCGTCGGTAATATCTATCGCCTGAATAATAATTATGGAGCTGCGATGCTGGGCAAGACGCAGCATGGCTATGTTAGCCCGTTCAGTTCTGTGCCTAATTAACGTACATTTGCCGTCAGTTCGGGGCTCGCCCCAGTGGTAGTTTTCCTTTCCACGGTACCATTCGCTGTCACGTAATATCCAGCGGGTGCCAGTAAAACGAGCAACACATCTCACCCAACGGATTCTTTTCTCGGACAGTTGCAAAATTCAGCAAAAACGAAAACCTCAATAACTCACTAGCCCCTCCTTTACACAACTATCTCTGAAAAAAGTAACAGCAGTCCCAAAAACTAGCAGTTTTTTTGAACAATTTGGATACTATGGACATGAAGGATGCTGAAAGAATTCAAATTTTTAAAGAAATCGGAAATGAAAACAAACTCAACTCTCAGATAACTGCTTACTGTGACAGAATAAAACCAGCATTAAAGCAAACAGATCTTGAAAAAAATTTATGCATAAAAACATAACATATAAAAATTAGGTCAAAAATACTACGAATACCAGGACCAACCGGATAATCAGCGTAGATATCTCACGTTAGTGAGACTACTGGGATGAACCCCTCCCCCTTCCCTCATTCCACGCGCTATTAAGCCAATAGCACATGAGATGTGGGGGGCATTCCAGTCTTCCTGTCTTCTTTGGAGGCCGTCCAAGCGGTCGCCACTCTCCTGCGAGTATCCCTCATAAGCATGTGAGTACAGCAAAAAAACAGTCTAAGATTTCGCGAGTGTCCTATAAATTAGCTCTCCCTGTTGACCAGGTACCAGACCGGCGTGCGGTACCTTTGACAGCCACTGAGTTAGCCGCTGAGAAGAAGCGAACATACAAAGCACACATAATGAGTAGTACTCACAACAGAGATGCAGCGCAGGATCGAATGACCGGGTATAGCTGGAGGATGTCAATGGGTGCACCCCACCAACCGATCAACCGGAAAATCATAAAGCATCACCGCTAACACAAGAAACACGCCGAACACTTCCAGAAAGGAAATGTACCCAAAATTAAAACATTTAAAAAGTACAGAATTATAAACAGGCTTCCCCGATATGCTGTATTTTCTGAAAGCTTATCCTCACTTGGATTATTCGGAGGTAAAAAGAAACAAATTTGCATGAACAAAATGGAGAGAAGTGAACAGCAAAAAAAGTTACATTTAGTGAAAAGACAGTCACATTTTTTTTTTTCTTTTGGTTACGTTCTGTGAAATTCTTGAAAAGCATAGGAAAAATTCACGAAACCTTACGACAGACGAATAAAATGAATGCATTTCACCAAGTAAGCTATTATTTCACCTGTACAAACATATATCTACATATAAACACTAAAAATAAATCGTAACAAACAACATTAAAAAGACGCAAACACACCGATAAAATCAAATAATCATAAAAGCCTATAAATAACCAAAGGATAGCAAGAACATCGCCAAAGGATAGCAAGAACATCAAGACGAGCCGAGCTGTCAGCACGAATATCCCATGTTAATATCCCATGGAATGCTCTCATACGCCAGGCGCAA